GTAGATTACTTGAGCCTAGGAGGTCGAGGCTACAGTAAGCCAATATCACACCATTGCACAGACTAGGCATCAGGCAAGACCCTGTCTGAAAACAAAAACAAACCAAACTGAAAACAATCCAGCTTGATCTTAGATGAATGGTTAAAACAAACAGTACATCCATACAATGGAGCACTACTCAGCAATAAAAAGGAATGAACTATGGTATATGTACCAACTTGAATGGATCTCCAGGAAATTATGCTGAGTGAAAAAAAGCCCCTCACAAAAGGTTGTAGACTGTATTATTCTGTTTATTTAACATTCTTGAGGATGACAAAATTGTAGAAACAGAAAACACAAGGGGAAGGAACTGAGGGCTGGGGAACAGCAGAGGTGTGGGTATGTTTATAAAACAATACAAAGCGATCCTTGTGATGGAACTGCTCTGTATCTTAACTGTTGGTAGACACACAAACCTACACATGTGATAAAAGAGCACAGAAGTATATACGCACAAACGTAAAACACACACACACACAGGTAAAACTGGAAAAATCTACATAGGATCAGCAAGATTGTATCATGTTGTATCCAGGCTGTAGCCTTGTATTACCAGACACATAGTATACACATTACATATATAGATAGTGCTATAGTATAAGATACAGAATCTCTGTATTCGTTCTTACAAGTGCATGTCAATCTACAATTACCTCAAACTTAAAAAGTTTAAGATTAAAGGAAAAAAACATACCACAAACTTTTCTTTTGGAAATAGAAAAGGTGATTCTTTTTTTTCTGAGATGAAGTCTCCTGTTGCCCAGGCTGGAGTGCAGTGGCGCGATCTCAGCTCACTGCAACCTCCGCCTCCTGGGTTCAAGCAATTCTCCTGCCTCAGCCTCCTGAGTAGCTAGGATTATAGGCATGTGCCACCATGCTCAGCTAATTTTTGTATTTTTAGTAGAGACGGGGTTTCACCAGGCCAGGCTGATCTCAAACTCCTGACCTCTTGATCTGCCCGCCTCGGCCTCCCAAAGTACTAGGATTATGGCGTGGTACTGGCCCAGCCAGAAAAGGTGATTCTTAAGTTCACGTGGAAAATAAGCAAAATCAGGACAAAGCAAGGATGTTTACTTTGACTTCTAACCCACACTGTCCTGGAAGTTTGAGCCAGGGCAGTAAGGCCAAGAAGAAAATTAAGTCATCCAGATGGAAAGAAAGAAAGAAAAACCACTGGGATCCTATCTCCAGTCTTTCTGTAGATAAAGAGAATCCTGCTTAGCTCCCAGAACCATCCGCTGAAACTGGGAGAACCATATGAGATTGGACCAGGGTAGAAGGTCAAAGCAGAACTTGGAAGCCCGGAGCAGAACGGGAGAAAAAGCAGCATAAAGAAAAGAATCATGGCAGGGTAGTAGAAGTATTTACTTAGAAAACCATGAATACTGTTTAGTCAAAGTTTACCCCTCCCCTCCAAACACACACACTTGAGTCAGGAGTTTGGGACTAGCCTAGCCAGCGTGGTAAAACCCCGTCTCTACTAAAAATAAAACCAGCCGGGGCGTAGTAGTAGCTGCCTGTAATCTCAGCTACTCGCGAGGCTGGAACCACGGGAATTGCTTGAACTTGGAAGGCTTAGGCTGCGGTGAGCTGAGATCACATGCCACTGCACTCCAGCCTGGGTGACAGAATGAGACTCTGTCTCAAAAAAAAAAAAAAAAAAAAGAACAAGTAGTTGCCAAGATTGCAGGATACAAGACCAATATAAAAAAATCAACTGCATTTCTTATATATTAGCCATACATAAATACAAGTAGATATGAAAATAAATTGCTGAGAGTGATATAAGACCTGAATCCTGAAAACCTTGCTGAGAGAAAGTAAAGAACAAGATAAATGGAGAGTTACTGTGTTCCATAGATCAGAAAACTCAATGTAGTTGAATGTCAATTTTCCCAAATTGTTTACAAGTTCCATGAAATCCCAATCAAAGGTGCAGTGGGCTTTTTATAGCCAGTTGACATGTCCATCTTCGTTATATGAAAATGCAAGAACCTGAATTAACCAAAACAATTTTGAAAAGGCTAAGGTTGCAAAACTACAAAGTTAAAAACTACCCAATTCCCAGGAACTAATTATAAAGCTGTAAGTAACAGAGACAGTGTTGGTATTGAGTATAAATAAATATATCAATGGAGACAGAACAGAGAGCTTCCCAGAAATATGCACCCATAATGTGGCCAACCAATGCAGGGCAATTCAATAGGGAAAAAAATAGTTTATCAACCCAGAGACGTGCTGGAAAATGGATATCAATAATATGTCAAAAAGGAACCTAAATCCATACACAACACCTATAAAAAATTAACTCGAAAAAGAATTATAGCCTAAATGTAAAACCTGAAACTGTAAGACTTATAGAATATATGAGACAATTTGTGACATTGGGTGAGACAGCGATTTCACCACATACGCTATCAAAGCACAGTCCCATAAGAGAAAAATTTTGGGCAGGGCATAGTGGCTCATGCCTGTAATCCCAGCACTTTGGGAGGCTGAGGCGGGTGGATCACCTGAGGTCAGGAGTTCAAGACCAACCTGACCAACATGGTGAAACCCCATCTCTACTAAAAATGTCTAAAAAGATAGGCAGGCATGGTGGCGGGCGCCTGTAATCCCAGCTACTTGGGAGGCTGAGGCAGGAGGATGGCTTGAACCCAGCGGGCAGAGGTTGCAGTTAGCCGAGATCTCATTGCACTCTGGGAGACAGAGCAAGACTCCATTCCCCGAAAAATTGTTTTGATAAATTGACCTATGCAAAATTAAATACTTTGCTCTGTGAAAAACACTATTAAAAATAGAAAAGACAAGGCACACACTAGGCAAAAATAATTGCATATCACATGTCATACAGAATTTATGTCAAAATACAAAAGAATTTCTTAGAATTCAACCAAATTAAAATAATGTGCAAAAGATTTGGACAGATATTTCATCAAAGAAGACACAGATGGCAAATAAGCACATGAAAAAATGCCCGAAACAAGTAGTGACTAAACTTCCAAGATACCACTCGCCTAAAAAAGAAAGCCAACAATTTTAAAGACCCAGTACTACCAGGTACTGTAAAGATGTAGAGTGAAGCAGCAGAAGTCACATAGAAGTTATGGTGGCAATGGAAAATGGTGTAAACACTTTAGAAAACAGTTGGGTAATTCCTTAAAAAATTAAATGTGTACCTATCATATGACCCATTTAATTCATTCTGAACTTCTTATTTACCCAAAGAAATAAAAAGTGGTTCATATACAGACTTCCTACAAAATGTTCACATAGCCTTACTCATAATAAGCCAAAACCTGGAAATAATTGTTTATTAACAGGTTAACGAATAAATAAATTGCTATACATCATACAATGGACACCCATTAGCCAACAAAAAGAAATAAAGATGCAGCAGCATGGATGAATCTTGAAATAAATCATGCTGAGTAAAAGAAGTCAGACCAGAAAAGAGCACATATTGTAGGATCCCATTTGATTAAATTCTAAAGGGCACAACCTACTGAATAGTGACACAAGGCAGCTGAATGTACACAAGCGATGGAAGAGGACAGGATGGAGGAGTGATAAACGGTAAAATGAAGCTGTGAGGTGATAAATGTATTTCATTATTTTGATTGTAGCGGTATACTCACATATTAAAGTTTATGCGATTGTACCTTTAAACACTGCAGTTTACCATCAATTTATACCTCACTAAAGTGATTAAAAAGAAACCACCACACTTTCTTTTTGAAAACAAAGAAAATGATTCTTAAGTTCCTGTGGAAAAAACAATAAGCAAATTGAGAATAGTCAGGGAGAATGCTTAAAAAAGCCCCCAGCAGAATAAAAGAAAAAAACTGTTGAGACACAGTTTTAATAACTGAATACTTAATAACATGATAAAGCTACATAGAGTACTAAATTATAGTAATAATAAATGAACCAACAGAGATCAATGATATTAACCCATAAGCCCAGACAAAAGAATATATGAAGAATACATTCACATGCAGACTAGTCACAGTGGCTCATGCCTATAATCCCAGCACTTTGGAAGGCTAAGGTGCGAGGTAAGGTGCGAGGACTGCTTAAGCCCAGGAATTCAAGGCCAGCCTAGGCAACATGGCAAGACTCCCATCTGTACGAACTATTTAAAAATTAGCCAGGCATGGTGGTATACATTTGTGGTTCAAGCTACTTAGGAGGCTGAGGCAGGAGGATCTCTTGGCCTAGAGTTTGAGACCAGCCTGGGGCAACATAAAAAACCAGTCACACAAAAAAATTTAAAATTAGCTGGGTGTAGTGATGCAAACTGTGGTCCTAGCTACTCAGGAAGCTTGGGTCTGCGACACTGAGGCTGCAGTGAGCGTGACCACACCCAAGCACTCCAGCCTGGGTAGCAGGCGAGATCCTGTCTCAAGACAAAACAAAAAGACCTTCCAAGAAACCATGTGGCAGTTGTAATCCCATAAAAATAGCTCAGATTCCTAACATACAGATCATATCTTATGAAAATAAAAGCGTGAGCAGAATTATTTCAAGGATGTCAGTGTGGAGTTCTTTATAAAATGAGCAAAGTACAAAACTACTTAGATATTGAAAAGTCTGACTTCAATAATGGTATGATATTTAAAATAATAAATATGAAATCTTTGAAAAATTTAATGGCAATTTATCAAGAGTACATCATAGCAATCCTCCTGCAAAAATTATATAAAAATTACAACTAAAAGGTTTATACACACCCAGGATTTTTAAATGATTAGAAGAAACGTGAAGAGAGATTAACAAAGGTTTTACGGGTTAGTAGAAGATTTGGTATGTTATGTACTTTTCATTTAAATTTTCTACAATGCATACTAACTTTATTATGAAAAGAAAAACATAAATGCCATTTGTATGTATTTTTCACATCACACAAAATCTATTTTTAACAAACACATGATTAAAATTTATGGAAAGTTTCTCACTTTTAAGGTCCATATGTAGTAAATCAGTTAGCCAACTGAGAAAATAAGATCATCCATAAAGGAAAATCCGAATATTACCTGGCTCATTACTCCTGTCTGAATTCCCCAAAGCATTTCCCCAAGTGACTATGATTTTCAATTTGACTATTGTCTAAGATACAGAAGAAAATAAAGTTTAGAGAAGCCAGTCTTCCTGAAGAACCCAGCTCTTTACTTACCATCTTCTGCTAAGACCTTGTGCATCTTTTATCATCTTCCCACTTTCCAGTCACGAAGCAATCTCTGATACTGTTCATAACCTTACATGAAAAGTCAGCACTTAGGTGAGATATTCCAATCACTCAGCAAAACAACTCTAAGAAATGGCAGTAGGCAACAACTTGCCTTTAAATATTTCCCACTTTCATGCATATTCTCATTCCAAATGAGCCCAGGAAATAACTTTACAGTGGAGACAGTATAACCACAGAGATAAAACACATTAAGCAGCAGATAGGGAAAGTATTAAATACTACTAGTCTACTAACCTCGTTAAGTAAAACAAACAGATAATTACTAATTCAACTAATTTTCAATTGTATTAAGGTTTCTAAGGCGATGCCTTGAAAACCAATGAGACAATGATTATAAAGTTGAGGTCTTGCTATTTGTTAATCTAAACCTGTCTGTTTGAAAACTTAATTCTATAATATGGAGAAGATGTTGTAAATTATGTATCTGATAAAGGACTTATATCAGAATATATAAACAAGCATACAACTAAGTAATTCAATTTTTGGAAATGGGCAAACAATATGAAGAATATATACAAATAGCCAATAAGCACATGAAAAGATGTTCAGCATCATTATCAGAAATGCAAATTAATACTATAATGAGACACAATTTCACCCCCTCTAGGATGCTATAATCAAAAGACAGATAATAACAAGTGCTGGTGAAGAAGTGGTGAAACTGGAACCCACATACAGGTACCAGTGGAAGTAAGTAAAATGGCACAGTCACTTTGAAAAAGAAATGAGAGTATAAAACGAATGAATAGTTATGCGATTCTCTAATTTCTGTCATCTTCTGATTCAACCAAGGAATAATTCTCAGTGGAAGAATGAATAAGATGTAATCCTGAATGTGAACTGGAAATATCTGTATGGACTCTCCTGGTTCGGGCCACTGAGAAGGCCTAGAAGTAATGACCAAGTCATGACAGTAAGCATTCCTATGCCTAGGCTGTCATGTTGAAATACCATTTCGTACTAAAGCAGGACTTCTTATGGGGTGATTCCAAGTGTTCTCTCATATCACAGAGCAAGAATTGATCCAGAATGACTACGATTGTAACACAAGGACTCAGGAGCTGGTGTGCACAGATGCTCACAGGCCACAGGTGGGATAAAGAGGAGCTTCAATAACGGATAACAGGTACAGGAGCACAAGGCACATCAACTACATTTATATCCATGACATCACAGTGATACTCACAAACAAGTATCCTTTGGAGAATCACTCCAAGCTGATTAAAAAATCAAGCATGGGCGGGCGCAGTGGGTCACTCTGCAATCCAGCACTTTGGGAGACCAAGGCAGGTGGATCACAAGTCAAGAGTTTGAGACCAGCCTGACCAACATGGTGAAACGCCATCTCTACTAAATATACAAAAAAAAAAATTAATGGGCATGGTGGCGGGAGCCTGTAGTGCCAGCTACTTGGGAGGCTGAGGGCAAAGGAAGAATGGCATGAACCTGGGAGGCAGAGCTTGCAGTGCAGGCAAGATCGTGTCACTGCACTCCAGCCTGGGTGACAGAGCGAAACACCGTCTCAAAAAAAAAAAAATCAAGCATTTACCCTACATACATGGAAGTGAATAACCAAATAGTAGAAGAGGAAAAGTTTCTCTTTAAAGTATTACAGCTAATACATAAAGAGAAATGATTGAATAGAACATCACCACTCTACGTTCTTAAGAAATTGATGGTTCTAGGCATTGAGCACCAACAACTGATAACATCTAACATCATTAAAAGGACACAACCAGTCTTTATGCGCCTCGTAATGCGAAAACACACCACCACTTAACTTTGTACATGTATGAACTTGCTACTTTGAAGTAGTTTGCTGAAAAATAAAATCAAATTTAAATCCTGTCCAACCGCTAGATGTTTTGTCTACAGGAGTAACTACAAATCATTATTTATTTTAAATTAATCTTAACAAAGATTAAATAAAATTTAAAATTTAGTTCTCCAGTCTCATTAGCCACATTTAAGAAAAACTATTAGCCACAAGTAGCCACAACCCACAGCTCAGATATACATTCCGCTCGTCACAGAAGTTCTATTAGTATTGCTCAGTACCCACTCACAGGAAATACAGGAGGGCCTGTGAAACTGCAGAGGGATGCAAAGCAATCCACAAAGTCCAGAATACAAGAAACTCTACAGACCAAAGACTTGGTTTATTAAATAAAATGTAACCAAAAAAAGAAATGGGAAGGAAAGACTGTTCACTAAAAATGTTAAAAGATAAGACTGAAAAACAGTAAGGAAAATCAGGTAAAAGTAAACTGTGATGCTTATAGAAGCATGGAGGAAGAAACCAGGAAGAAAAGGAAAGCATCACCTTAAGAGGCTGGACCACACCTCCTTCTACAGGGAGGAAGGGGACTATGGCTGGTGTCACAATTGAGCAGCAAAGCTTGATTTCTCAGCCTGAGTGTTAGTACAGAAATTATTCACCTTCTGGCAACCCATTAAGCTAAACAATTGTTTTTACATGGTTTTCTATATCTGTATTAAATTTCACCATAAAAATGGATTAAATAAAATCTCATAAAAGTGCACTAAGTGTTATCTGGCCCGAATTACAATAGGCAGTATGATAGCAATTTGGGCCTCTGTAGATGACATCTATAAGCCAAACTAGACTGACAAAAAACAAGGCAGCCTTTGGAAGATCAAGAATATTCCAGAAGGGAATACAGAAAGGGAGCTGGCGCGATGGTTCACTCCTGTAATCCCAGCACTCTGAGAGGTTCAAGGCAGAAGATCAACGCGAACCCAGAGTTCGAAAGTAGCTCAACATGGTGAAACGTATCTCTACAAAAAATACAAACATTATTCAGGCCTGGTGGCTCATGCCTATAGTCCCAGCTATATAGGCTGAGATGGGAAGATCTCTTGAGCCCAGGCTGCGGCTGCATTGGAGTCATACACTTGTGCCACTACACTCCAGCCTGGGCTGCGAGCAAGACCATTATCTCAAAAGAGAGAGAGAAAGAGAAGAAGTCTCAGGAGGTTGAGCTGTGGTGAGTTTGGTACTGAATGAATTCCAGTGTGATTACAAAGTGGTGAGCTGCAGGAAGAACATTTACAGGTATCACAGATTTCTCTATGCTTACAAACGTAGAACTATAAATGTAACTCAAGGGTGCTACGTATATCCTAGTGATAAGACACAAAATACATCAGATGTATAAAAACTTATAGGTGATGCTTCCAAAATAAAGATACCTACTGTCCACACTGGAAGCTGAACCTGTCCTCTGTGAGCCACTTTGTAAGTCTAACTAAAACTCAGAACATGTTACTATTTAGGATGCCTGAAGTGCCCACTGCAGTATCTGGAAGAATGACCTGTAATCCTGTAAAAATGAGAAGCCAACAACAGGTAAGCAATATTGACATCAGATAATCTTATTCTAGAACAATTCTCTAATTCTCTAATAAATCAAATGTACTACTAGCCTTACCTCCTCTAAATCCCAGTCATGAGGGGCCTCACAAGAAATCTAGAACAGTCCAAAGTCAGCCTTGTAGCCTCTCTGTCAGGCTGGTTGACACGAAACAACCCTCAAGCTCTTCTCAAAATTATCACCATCTTCTTCTTCATTATCTTCTGCCACTAAAGGAGTCACCATGGTAGAAAAGTGAGAACAAAAACTACAGCCTTAGAAGACCCATCGTTTTTAGCTTGGTTAGGCCATGAGTCTTGAACTCAGGAACCGAGAGGCCTCTGTCTGCTTGATGGAGTATGGCAATAGCCACATATGAGTTAGGCATTGAGAGGCAGGCAGTCACAGGTTAAGAGAGCCAGGAAGCCATTGCTGTACATGTGTGAGCTCTGCGCTCCTGCACAGCAGCAGCTAAGAGGCTGAGAAGGAGTGAGAATATTGGCGGTAGAGGAGGAAGGAGACATTTAAAGGCTGAGCTTTAGATTACTAAAGAAAGAGCGCTAAAAGAATGTTGAGCCTCTCATCACTAAAGTACCTAGATAAAACCTGAATGAAAAACAGTATACAACAACCTTCCCAATTCTGGGGCTGGCCAAAAAGATCTCACCATGTGGCAGCAGTCTCCCATGCAGTAACCAGGAGTACAGTAAAGTTCATACTATATATTTATTTTTGCATTAATTCAATTCTACCAGAAAAGAATATATAGGTAAGTTTAATAAAGCATAAAATCAGAGGACAAGGGCAAAGGAGAACAAAATGTATTTATACAGTGTTTAATTCTCAGAAAGGAAAAAAGTAAATATTTTATGGGTGAAATATTTTTTGGCACTAATCTACAAAAAAATTCTCTTGAAGGACTTTTTAAATGAGAACACACAGCATAATGCAATGGACAGCATTTATCAAGTTTTACAACAAACCCATTATGTCTACTTTGTAAGACCAATGTGTAGTCCTCATAAGCTGATGATTAGAGACATCTGTCAAACATGAAATGTGATGGACAGCAATTATGGATGTCAACAATACCAGCCCAATCCTCCAACCAATTCCCTCATCTAAATAATCAGAGAAGCAAAAAGCTTATTTCCAGCTCAGGTAGAATTCTTTACCTGTCCCATAAATAAGCTTTGGGTTGGAGCTGCTTGCTGCTGCCTCAGAAAGGCCTCAGCTGCCTTTCTGGAAAGGTCTTCCCCTTCCGCGAGGCACACTGTAAACGACCAAAGCCAACCTCCAATTAGGCTTGTTTACATGCCTCCCTCCCTCAAGATCCATCCACAATGCAGCATTTCAACAGTTAACAAAATCCTGCAGAATCAACAGACCCCAAATGGAGACATTCCATTGGGTACCATTCGAGCCAAGTTGATAGCAACCAATAAATTTAAACACCTGAGGTTTCTTTGGAATCATTATTTTCTTCCTTGTAATCTTCTTCCTCTTTGAGTAAATCTTCTATATCACTGGTCTCATCAATTAAGTTCCTTAGCTGATTTGACCACTGCTCACTTGGGAAGGCTTTGAAAGCTTTTTCTAATAGCCTCTTCATTTTCTGAGTCCTCTTCTCTGCACCGAGTGAGGAGCTTTCTTCAGATTCATCTTCCAGATCTCGCGCCTCTTCGGCTGTGCAATGCCCAGAATCGGAAGTGGGGAGAGCTTTGCTTTCTTCATCAGCAAGACTTCTCCAGATCCACCACAGTCCTCCTGACAGTTCGCTGGTGATAGCCCTGCTTCTACCTTCTCAACAACCTTTGATCCTGGAAATGCCCCCTCTCTGCAGTGCAGTCCTCTTCTTCACTGCTTTCATCAACTTCCTCTGCTTCCCCTTCTTCCACTGGAAGCTCCTCTCAAGGTCATCGTCATGTCCTTAAAGCTGGCAAATCCATTTCACTGTCTTCTTCAACTCTTCAAGTTTCAACTCGTTTGACGCCCTTACCAGCCATATACTGATCAAGTCACCTCAGCATTTTCCTCCTCTTCTGCTTCCTCCTCCACTAAGTCGTTTTCCAACAAGTCATCTTCGGATATTTCACTCATTTTCTTCATCATCACTATCTCCAGATTCATCTTCATCTCCAAAAATGGCTTTCCGGCCGCCCAGTAGCCCAGTTTTTAAGTCATTTGTTTTCACTCCTTTGGCATCAATAGCCTGTATTACCCAAGAAATACAAAAATAATTCAATTTATTACATTAATCAGCTAATCTAGAAATGGCAATACAGTCAATGAAAAATACAAAGAAACAGAAAATGTCAAGGAATTGTTTAAGATGACATAGCATAGCGAAAAAATGATCTGATAAACATTGGAAGAATTAATAAGCAAACTCAGACATGATTCCCTAACACCACACTTCAAAAAAACTTAGAGAGAGAATAAAGGAATAACCCTTAAAAAACAAAAATCTAATTTAGAAAAAATTGCTCAAAAGGGAAGTTAGTGTTTTTGTAGATTTTTGAAAGCTGATTAATTCTAAGCTAAAATACATGATCCTTAAGAGAAATGGCTGAGTCCAGAGCCCAAGGCAGAAAGAGGGCAAAATGAGCCTGGATCCTCTTGTTCCGTCAGAAAGTAAGAAATGCTCAAAGACTAACAGAGACAGTTGAAAGGACACAGGAGACAGGCTGAAGGCTCCCTGCGGCCGTCTGGAGACAGCATAGGCATCCAGGAAGAATAGCCAGTAGTGATGGAAAATAACCCATGGAACAAAACGCAAGTGCATTAGTCAGCAGTGATACGGAAATAAAGGGGAGAAGTGAAAGCTCTTTGTTAAAAATGCCGGCTAACAAATGTAGGAGGAATGACGGAAGAACGCATCATAACAAATGTAGGAGGAATGACAGAGGAAGAACATCCATTTTAAGTCGCCAGTGTCATATCTGATAGAGAAGAATCATCAGGAGGCTAAAATCACAGTATAAAAGAAAACTGTATGAAGCTATTTAATGTAGCAAGATATATAAAATTATGAAAACATAAATTTGAAAAAACTGAAAATCACACCAAAAGAGATGGATAAGTTAGAATATAGCAATAATAGGCCAGGCATAGTGCCTCACATCTGTAATCCCAGGACTTTGGGAGGCTAAGGCAGGAGGATTGCTTGAGCCCAGGAGTTCAAGACCAGCCTGGGAAACACAGTGAGACCTAATCTCTAGAAAAAAAAAAATTAGCTGGGAGTGGTGGCGCACTCCTGTAGTCCCAGCTACTTGGGGGGCTGAAGCGGGAGGACCACTTGAGCCTGGGAGTTCAAGGCTGAAGTGAGCCCAGATCATACCACTGCACTCTAGCCTGGGAGACAAAGCAAGATCTTGTCACACACACAAAAAAGAATACACCAATAATAACAAAATGATGACTACATAAAGACTGTATAGAAAAAGGAAATGCTCAGAATATAGAAATAAAATTATGTATTTTAACTGTAACTATAGTAGAATAGAGTATTCTTGTAGATAAAGATGACTAGAAGGATATACAAAAATGAAAATCGCTAGTAACTTCATTATAAAGGAGTGATCTTTCGGTGAACACTTTGCATCTGTCAGGCATTCTGCTAGGTAGTTTATGAACATTGTAACAAATTACAAACTAGATAATCTCAAAATTTTCAGATAAATTTTACTGGGAGTCATAAATCAATACAACAAAACCAATGTTTTGCAAACATTGACTATGTATAAAGGTATGCAAATTCCCAACCCAGACTGAAAAATAATTCACATAAGCCATACGTCCATGGAAACCTACCCACGGGAGATAATATAGCATAATCTAAATAAAACTTTCAGAGACAAGGCATGTGGCTTCTGGACAGCCACAAACTCCTTGACTCTGCTCTAGTGTTTTGGCCTCCAAAAGAAAGCCAAGTGGCCTCACGTCTCTTAAAAAACAAAAGGCAACCTATGGAAGATGGAGTGGTATTTGAGGAATATTTGGGGTCTGTTGAAAAATGTATCCTGTATTTTATTTCAAGAAAAGACTCCCTCATAATGTCAGGTAAGTGAAGAGCCCTCAGAGACATGCACACACAAAGAAAAACAAAACAACATAGAATGAATCCCACCAAAATGTGTTATGATGGCTGAATTATGGGTGATATGATCTTCTGTAATACATCTTTTTATTAAAAATAGAAAAAAAGCAGACTTACCCTTGATTATCTAAATCCTCTGACCCAAGTGGCTTGGAATCAGAAAACAGTGTCACTCGACTTGAAGCCATCTTGGCATCAATGGTGGAGTGGGTAGAGATGAGACTCTGGACCAGCTCATGGGTGGGCCCCACCTCATCCTGTCAAGACCACCAAGAAAGAGCATGTGAGAAAAGCACAAAGATCCTGGAGAGACACTGGTTTCATTCAGTTTCTCAAAATTATCTTAGACACATTTCCTAAGAACCTTTCTTAATGCCTCAAAAAGCAGAGAAGAAAATCCTTACAACAAAGCTTGAAATGGATCCCCATCTCCATTAAACTTTTCCAAAGTTCAGGGAGTATGTAACCTGATAACCTAAACACCTAGCTAGAAAAACCTCAGCTCCAATGCTACAACAATGCTAGCTCTTCTAACATTTTAAAATAACCCTAATTTTAACCCAATAAAATTCCACTTCAGAACTAAGAAATAAATATTTGAAACCCACTTTAAAATACAGAATGAGGAGACCATTGTGAATGAGAAAAAGACCAATGAGAGCTGGCAAGCACACTGATTTTGTAGAAACGGGGATGGGCCATGCAGGCACCACATGGCAGCAATGCCTGCGCTGGGGCCATGGATCAAGGAGGCATGGAGGACAGGACTCTTCTGCTTGGTACAATGAAAAAAAAGTATTTTTTTAATCCTATATATTTACAATATGCATTTGGGCCTTTATTATAAGTACAAGAGAAAAATCTTCAATAAATAAAAGCTGACTACATTATTTTTTGTGATTAAAAAATAGACTCGGAAAGAATAATGAGAGTTCAGAGAAATGACGCCCATCTCACCGATACCTGAAAACCGTGGCTGCCACCAAGGTCAACATAGACAGCGTCTTTGTCATACAGCACACCCCCAACTCCAGAAAGAGGCGCATAAACCAGCTTCTCCTTCTCATTTAAACAGCGCTTCTTTTGTTGTTCAGGAAGAGCACAAGGGTCTGGGAGGAAACTGATGTCACTCACAGCAAAATCTCCTACCCCTGGAAGACAGGATCCAAAAGCAAGCTTCAGCTGACAAGAAGTCAGAAGTATCTACTGTTGACTGGGGGGTTAAAAACGAGCCATAGTCCAAGGGCTTAACCCATGACACTAAAGAAGGGCATTGTGCCACACTGGAACAGTGGCCCTCTAGCTACAAGACAAGAGGTCAGAGAAGAGGGGATTTGATAACACCTTTGCAGGCCTACACACATCTGGGTTACTTTAAAAACCTCCAGCGAGGCCATCTTCCCTTGTTTGGTCATTTTTCAGTTTTCCTGAGAAATGAAGTCATCCCAAGAATCCTATGTGTAATTCTAGTATGTTCTACAACAAAAGAATACCTGGCATGTGAATTTGGCTTTTATTTTTCAAGTGTGCTCCTCTTAAATAACCATAAAGTGACACCTTCCGGTCACATTTGATGTTTGTTCGGATATCCTCTGGGTTTGTCAAATCTTCCATCCTAGAAAAATAAACTCAATCATGCAGCAGAAATGAATGCCAAAGTTCCTATACCTCCTTTCAGGTGTCAATGACTCATCACACTATTGTCCACTAAGCACATCATTTAGAAAACTAGAAAATGCAGAAATAAAGAAGCACCATTCCCCATCCACCAGAGGAAAAGGGGCAGGCACACAACTGTGTCTCTAGGCTGAAAGTGACATTTTCATTCCAGAAGACACCAGACAGGGAGATGATGTCCACCTGGGGTCAGGGAAGAGTGAAGAACATATTCAGAAAATCCCTTGCTGGAAGAGGGTGAGCCTGTGCTTTGGGATTTTTACTGTGGCTTGGATTCTGGCAGGTGGAAAAAGGGTATTCCAGGCTGAGAAAACCGCATGAGGAAGAGCACAAAGGAAGGAAACTGAAGGCACACACGAAGGACTCAAGCACCCAGGCACGAAGGCAGCATCACTCAAAACTGAGGCTGAACGTAGGATGGGGCCACATTCTGTAGCCTTAAATGCTTCTAAGTCCTCCCATTTTCCTAAACATCTCATAATTAATTTACTCCCAAAGGCACAGCATCTTTGAGCAATGATATAAGTAGACATTTTCCATCAACTACACTTCTATTCCCACTATTCAAACAGGCACAAAATAAATCCTATCACTGTTCTTTTTCTAGCCTTTTTAGCTTTGAAATATATATGGCCCAAGAAGAAAAAATTTACAATCACTTTTTACCTGTCTGCCAGGATATAAGGGTGAGAAGTTTGCCATGTGAGAGGCCTAAACTTCATAACTGTAATAAAACGGCCCAGATTGTGGATTTCTTGGTTTTGATATTCACCATGCACCATTCCAGAAAGGTAGAATAGCTTGGCACCCTAAACATTAGAGCAAAATTAAAAATTAAATTTCAATTAAATTCTCATCAATACTGCAACAAAATAAAAGTTGTAAACAAGAAGCAATCCTAAGAAAGGAGACTTCCAGCAAAGCCACTGTCCTGAGGCTTCCAGGGCCTTGCTGGCTTCTTTCAGGACTTATTAGAACCCCACAGAGGCAGACTGCTCTGCAGTTGAGCCGGGGCATCCATTTAAGTATGGTGAGGAGAGGGAGGTGAGGCGTCTGAGCACAGAAACGGTTCTGTGGCCGATGGACCAGGACAGTATAGAAAGGAAGGGGCAGTGCCTGGTCCTGTAACTAGGAGAAATTTCTGATGTACTCTATTATATAAAGTCCCGACCCCAAAACAGCCAGACACTGCCTGGCGCAGCAGGTACAGAGACAAATGAGATACACCAAGAAGCCCAGAACAAGCACTCTCTTGAGGGAAACCTTCCAGAAGACTGAACACACACACAAAGGAATTCAGCAGGCCAGAGACTGAACACATAAAATTTCTGATGTACTCTACAGTATAAAGTCCCGAATTTTCAAACAGCTGTAGACACTGCCTGGCAGCAGGTACAGAGACAAATGTGAGATACACCAAGAAGCCTGAACAAGCACCCTTGAGGGAAACCTTCCAGAAGACGAACACACACACAAAGGAATTCAGCAGGCCAGAGACTGAACACATACACAGTGGAATTCAGCAGGCCAGAGAGATAGTGAACACACACACAAAGGAATCTCAGCAGGCCAGACTGAACACATACACAAAGGGAATTCAGCAGGCCAGAGATAGTGAACACACAAAAAGGGAATTCAGCAGGCCAGACTGAACACATACACAAAGGAACTGCAGCAGGCCAGAGATAGTGAACACACACACAAAGGAATTCAGCAGGCCAGAGACTGTGAACACACACACACAAAAGAATTCAGCAGGCCAGAGGCTGAACACACACACAAAGGAATTCAGCAGGCCATAGAGTGTGAACACACACACACAAAGGAATTCAGGAGGCCAGGGACTGTGAACATACACAAACGGAATTTAGGAGGCGAATCCTAGAGAGACGTTTAGTAATGTCTCTTCAGTATTTTTACTTACTTATTTTTTTGAGACAAGAGTCTCACTCTGTCACCCAGGCTGAAGTGCAGTGGCGTGATCTCAGCTCACTGCACCCTCTGCCTCCTAGGTTCAAGCAATTCTCACTTCTCAGCCTCCCGAGTAGCCGGGATTACAGGCACGCACTACCACAACTGGCTAATTTTTGCATTTTTAGTACAGATGGGGCTTGGTCATGTTGCCCTGAGCTCAAAACTCTAGGCTCAAGTGATCCGACCGCCTCTGCCTTGCAAAATGCTGGGATTACAAGTGTTAGCCACTGCGTCCGGCCTCTTCAGTCTATTTTAAAAGGATTATACTGCTAGTATCCAACAATCATTTCTCCTCTTACCGGGTAAACTTCTGTCCAGAACCTGTGTTTTAATCGCTTCTTTGTCTTCTTCAGTTGCTTATTATGCTTGAAGGAGTCGAGGTGGGTGAGAACTCCCATAATTTTAGGAAAGCCATGTACTTGACAGATGTTTAGAAACTCAAATGTTTCCATTTCAAACCCAAAGCTGGCATCTATAAGCATCAGTACCTACAAATAGAACATATCATTTTTCAAAGAAACTACCAAAACAGACCACTTACACTAGGGGTTGGCAACTGGCCACGGGCAAAATCCCGCCCATCACCTGTGTTTGTAACTAAAGTTTTATTGGAACATAGCCACATTAATTCATTTACATTTTGTCTATGGCTGCCTGTGCACTACAACTGCAGAGCTAAGTAGCTGTAAAAGATATGATCCACAAAGCCGAAAATATTTACTATCTGGCCCTCAACAGAAAAGTCACACTCCAGACTAAATCAAATAACTACACAGGCATCACCCAGACAGAGAAACCACCACCCTCTGACTTGCTCTAAACGCCAACCATAACGATGTCCACTAGGATGCAAACTTCCATTATAAGAATTTTAATGTATGAGAAGTAACTCAGAAAAGGCTGGGTCTCACCTGGCCCTTACCTAAGAAATTCTAATTTAAAGAAATCAAGTTTTCTGTAAGGTATTTTTAAGCCAAATAACAGGTCTCTGACATCCAAAGAATGGGAAGAAAGTGATAATCAAAGAAATATATTAAATATGTACAGAAAACCAATCTCTTCTTTCAATCTCCTTATAGAAAAAAAAATTTGTTTTTTGCTGAGAAGTATGCAGTGGAAACCTCTATCTTATATATTAATTTGGATAACTCAATTGTTAAGAAATTTTTTTTAAATAGCTGCCATTTTAGAATTAGGTCAAAAAAAACAGTAAGATTATGATGAATGGTAGTCTATAAGAAAATATAAGCAGATGAGACCAATTTTTAACTTTTAAGATGCTTCAAAGATGCAAAATAATTTCAGAATTGATTCCTGGAAACTTCTAGTTTAAGTATTAAAAACATTTCTGTTCTTATCTTTGCATAGATAACTAAAATTAACAACAAAGAAAAATGGAAACAGAAATGCCCATCTTTGATTAAACTAGGAAACACTCAAAATCCGAAACCACAGAATATATGAAGGTGGGCTTGTGAGAAAGCACAGCTGCCACTGCAGACTGAGGCAGCAAGCACAGCGTTCCAGCAACACTGGACCAGCTCAAAGGACAGGCAGAATATCCTCACACTACATTTAATGTCACAGAGTGCCAGGGGGCAAGCAGCTGGTTGTAGGGTCAGGAAGAACGGGGAACAAACAGTCCCTCAGCTGCCAGTCTTTGTCATCTAAGCCAGTGTTATTCCCCTAATCCACACACGCACGAACACACCCAAATTCATGTATTGTGTGTGCCTTTGCTGTACACAGGAGGCTTTGACAACCCACAGCAGAGCAATCAACATAAGATAGGCTAAATAAATTATGGTGCCTCCATAAAATGGAATATTATATTAAAAAGGAGGCAGAGTTACAGTACTTACTTATTATATACCTCCAAGATACATTATATGAAAAAAGCAAAGCATAGAACAGTGTGTAAAATAAGCTACCATTTGTGTTTTTAAAGGGTGGTATGTGTGTTTATATGCATCTAGAAGGATACTGCTCTGCAGGGATCTGAATGACCAGCGGTTATACCAAGGAAAAAGAAAAATGCACATTGTGCGTATCCTGCATTACAGTTAGAGTACTTTACCAAATGTGTGTGTTCCTTTTGAAAAATCTTTAAAAGATTTACATAATAGGCATCTCTCTCAATGATGGTTAAGAGGCTGGGAAGGGGAGCAGGGAGGGAGGGACAAAGAGGGAAAGGTTAACAGGTACAAAAATACAGTTAGACAGAATAAATTCTGGTGTCCAACAGCACAATAGGGTGGACTATAATTTATTATATAATTCAGAATAACTACAAGAATGAAATTGAAATGTTCCTAACACAAATAAATGATAAATGTTTGAGGTGATGGATATCCTAATTACCCTGATTTGATCATCACACATTGTATGCTTCTATCAAATACCACATGTACCCCATAAATATGTATAACTATTATGTATCCATAATAATTAAAAATAAAATTAAAGGCATCTCTTAATATTATGTCTTTAATATTAGAAACTTGCTACATTTTACATAAAAGAGAAACAAATGACTTCTATGAACTATTTTGATCATTTCAAGTACACAAGATTTAGTAAGCTTACACTACATTAATAACACTTATTTTTACTAATAGTAGCATTACATGTTCAAAATTTGAATGTTATTTAGTTTTCTGACATTACAATGGCACAACTTTAAAATCTGTGTTACTTTTTACTTTATATTTTAGGAGTATTCCTGGGCCAAAGTATAAAATCTGTAGCTCTTTGTTACCAAACAGCTGTCTAAAAAAAACCAAGGTATCTCTCACCCCACACTTCCTAATCAATATGGCTTACTTTTTTGCTAATTTGTTTTTATTTTTTCTAATTTAAAACGTAAGTTAATAGAATACCAGAATAGTGAACATTATCATTTCCATAAATGCAAGAGTATGTACATTTTCCATACACTGAGTACTGTCTAGATTTTTTATTGCTAAACTCTGACCACTTCTTCAGGGCAATTCATGTACTTACTTTAGCATTATCATTAAGGATGAAGGTTCTGGAACCATCAGGAACAAGGGTCCCATCTTCACACAAGTTATTTAACTGCTGGGAAGCTCTATTTCATCTTATGTAAACTACAGATAATAACTACTCACCTCAAGGGTGCATCAAGGATTTATGTAAGCTAAATTTGTAGAAAGCAGTTAGCACAGTGCCAGGAAGAGTCCAAGAAAAAATGGTACTTACTATGATATATTTGTACGTATATATGTATACATATTAATGAGCTCTTATTAGTTGTGTTCATTAAAGGTTTTCTCCATCCCGTGATTTGCTTTTAGATTTTGGAATACATTTCATTGTGCACATTCCATTTTTATTATTAATATAACAACATTTATTACCATAATTATTATCATCAATTCAATCATATCTACTGTATCACTGATGATGACTATGATTCCTTTAATAATCATAGGACTCTCTTCCTTTCATCACGGGATAAATAACCTATCACGATGCTCTAAGTCTCCATCAGCACCCCAGGCTGCCCCTGCTGACTTACCAGATCTGCTACTTTAGCCAGATCAATCATCATGTTAATATCACACCCGCATTCAATAATGGTGAGTCTGCGCTTTTTACCTATAAGTGAAAAGATGAAAATTTTACTTTAAAAAGATCCTGAAAAAACTCTAACCATCAACTCTAATTTTCATTTTTTAACTGCATCCAGTAAAACATCATGTAAGTTTACAGGAGTGTACCAGAAGTTCGTTTTTATAGGCAAAAACTGGTAAAATAAAATAAATTCCATTCTGTTTTTCTTGCTGTGTTCTAAATTTAAATAATATCAAAAGTCTACCCAGATGAATAAAAGTGCTCAAACAGGGAAAATTCGGACTGCACAGGCTCCATGATAACCATGATCCTGCTGTTCAGCTGCGGGCCAATGTCTTTACCTCTATCAAAACTTCCCGTATTCCCACTATAGCTACAAACATCCTCAAACATAATGCAACAGAATATTCATAACAATAATTATTTCTAAATTAAGGTAAAAAGAAAATGGTCAAGAAAATATGGGCTGGGTGCAGTGGGAGGCCAAGGCAGGCAGATCCCTTGAGCCCAGGAGTTTTGAGATCAGCCTGAGCCACATGGGGAAACCCCATCTCTACAAAAAAAAAAAAAAAAAAAAAAAGAAAACTTAGCCAGGTGTGGTGGCATACACTACTCAGGAGGCTAAGGTAGGAGGATTGCTTAAACTTGGGAGGTTGAGGCTGCAGTGAGCTGTAATCATACCACTGCACTCCAGCTTGTGCCACAGAGTAAGACTCTGTCTCAAAAAAGGGAAAAGAAAATATGGATGCTCCAAAGATAAAGAAAAGCCTCAATCCAACTATACTATTGCAATAACAAGAGATTTCAGACTGCACATTCCCATTCTACCACTGGAAGTTTGTTTCATTTTCCCTCAAACTTGGAAAGGTCACCATCTCCCAAAGCAGACAATTCTCATAGCAAAAAGAGAAAACTGTACTTCTACCAGAATGTGGCTTCATAAGGCAAACATGTGCACATTTTCAATGTGAACATTATCACATACTTATCTCCGGGAACTTACCCTTTTCTGAAGCTATAGCCAACTTAGTAAAAGTATAAGACAGGTAACATGATATGACAATATTTAACATGTTCCGCTCAAGAGAACAACAAATGCATGCATGTCCCTCAGATGACAACAGCCACGCCAACTCTGTGTCTGTTGCGGCATCTCCTACCTGACACAATCGTCACAGGGCCTCTGATCTCGGTCAGCTTCTGCCGGGTGAAGTTCCGAATGAGGCATTGTATCAAAGTGCTCTTTCCAACTTTTGGAGGCCCCATCACCACTACCACTATTGGTGGGGGCTCCAGTGGAGTTCGATCAACCACTGGAATATGATGCTTTTTTGTCTTCAAATCCTGAGTCCTATTCATTAAAAATAAATAAATAAATAAATAGTAAACTCACTTTCAAAATAGAGTAAAAGGTATCAACTTTGTAAGTAAACTTTTTTAGTACATTTATATATATGAGTACTTTAGCACATTTTATTGAGAGGACAACAGACAATATATAATTAACTTGTCAGTTATTAACTTGTTAACTTCTGGCCCCATCCAAGTAACTGCTGTTCAATAAAGATGTAACAAGACGACTTCAATAGCATAGAGAGCTGAAAATTAAACACTCCTTAAATCTGACTGTTTTAAGAGTGATTTTAATAGTTTTTTTAAAAAACCAAAAGGTAAATACCGAGGCAGTGCATCATGACAGAGCAGAGGCTCTGGAGTTAAATTTGGCTCTCCTACTTACTGGTTACATGATTGGAGGTAACTTGTTCTCTTGACCTCAGTTTTCTTACCCATAAAATGAGGGCAAGAATGATTCCTACTCTGGTAAGGCTGCTGGAAGCATTTAGTTGAATAATGTTTAAAGTATACCGCTAGGCATATCACAAGGACACACTAAATAAAGCTATGTTAGTATTAAATATTGTAATTTTTGTATTTTATATTACAACTATGTAAAACATACCTAGGGGGGAAAAAGCACACTTATCACCATAGAAACAGTTTAAAATTTAGGAACAAACAAATTCTATAAATTCTTGCATCTTGGGCAATAAACACCAACCAGTGTGCAGATGCTGGAGGCAAGGCAGCTTCTATGGGAAAGCTTCTCACGTTTTAGTGAAAGCCACACACCACGCAACTCCATGTCCTTTGGAGCTGGACTAGACTCATGAATCCAAATGTCACCTGTGAGAGGCTCCTACTATTTAAAAAGAATCAATGGAAGAACGACCAGACTGTACCCTAACATACCTGTGAAAGGATCGAGCCATCCGCACAGCAGACTGAACTGCAAAAGCTTTGGGATTTCTCTTCCGGGCATCTTCTTCATCTCCTAGCTGGAGATCCTGCAGATGCCGCTTCTTTTTCTTTTCAGCTTTGGGCCCACTGTTTTTCTTTCTGTGTTTCTTCTGGTCTTTAGTCTCCATTGTAGCTATTTACCAATAACAAGTAACTCTAACCTACAAGGAAGAAGGTTGGGGTAAGGAGGTGGGAGAAGCATTTTACAATCCAGGCAATACCCAGGAAAAAACAGTAAATTTCATTTATTTCTTTATGAAGAGATGATGTATTTATTTACTGAACAAGGGTAGAAATTGCTCAACCATTGCCAATTTCATTTCTCTCTGTTATGCTATAAATTAGATGAGTTACCTCTCCTAAAGTTACATTTTATTGCTGTTACTTTTTATTCATCTTAAGTGTCAACATCAGCAATATCTATTTCTGCAAGGACAGAAATATTCTATATCTGTACTTTTCAGCCATTTAGCCATCAGCCACATGTGGTTACTTAACAATATACTTAGGGAAACTGAAAAAATGAATTTTTAATTAATTTCATTCTAACTCTAAAGTCACATGTGGCTACCACACCGGACAGCTCAGACCTAAGTATCAACTGGAGTAAAGAAGTGGTTTCCCAACTTAAACTAAAACTTACATTTTAATAAAAAATGTAAAACGTTTTTATGAACTTCCAATATGATCGCAGTATTACTTTTAGTACCTGTTGACTGTAAAACTCCTAAATTACAACTTACTTATATACATTTGAGAAAGAGCAATATCTAAGCACATTTTATAAAGAGTACAACAGACAATATATAATTAACTTGTCAAGTATTAACTTGTGAGATAGGACTGGTTCTAGATGATACCTGGAGACCCCATGAACTTACAGAGACCCTTCCAGTGATTTCTGAGTTACCTGGGAATCTGTGGCTAATAAATTGGTAATCACTGAATTAGTGAGTTTTTTTTAGGAAATGGGGCTTCATAAAATATGACAGCTTGATTTAAAAAAAAGCGGGGGGAGCAGGATAGTATTTCATTCAATTAAGGTACTGTATTCATTCAGTTTAATAAATATTTTGTCTGTCTATGATGTGCTAGGCACTGTGCCAGTAAATGGATACAGCTACGGTCTGACTTGCAGAGGAAATCCAAACTAGTATCTTCTGCGCCATGCAATAAGGGCGACATTGGAAGGCTGCACAGGGTGCTACTGGAGCACGGAGGTGAGTCAGAGGCTTCCCACAGACCCACACACCAGCGGAAACAGAAAGTCTTTATATATCACCATAATGTCAAGAACACTGGCCGGGAGTTAGAAGAGCTAGGCGCTAGGAAAGCTTTGAAACTGAAGAGCTGTGTGATTTCAGTGATTATGTTTCTTCTCTGCTATATTTTAGTTCGGAACTTGTACTAATGTTTCTCTCCCTGTCCTTCTTTGGTGGGAAAAGCACAATTTCGGGTCAACAGATCCGGCTCAGGTCTAAGTCGCCTGCCGAGACCACGTCGCCAGGAAACTACGTCTCCCAGCCACTTTCCCTCCCTGTCCGGGCTCTCTGCAGGGATTCATCCGGTCACTCTCCCAACTACCACCGGACACCTCCGGCAGATGAGAAATATGCCGCTCCTCGGGAGCAAAGATGACCCGGAGGACCGGGGAAGGACCTTCCCACGCGCACGACTCGCGATCTTCCCAGTGCCCCAGAATCAGGGACCCCACCGCCGCCTACCCCAGCCCGCTGTACTGAACCTGCTGGCAACTGCGACTCCTCAGTTCAGCATGGACACCGCCGGAAACGGAAATTCACCGTCGCGCCGACTCGCCGGAGGGAAACAAGAAGGCAGAAAAAAGAGACCGGCGTGGGGACGGCTTTCAGGGCCTGAAGAAAGACTGCTGAAAAGCTGAGTGCGGACGCAGGCGCAGTCCACGCAGTGCGTTTCACCAGGTCCGGGTACCTACCGAAACCGCTCCACCCCGCCCTCGGAATCCGCGGCCTCAACTTCCGCGGTGGGACTCTGGAGCAGCGTGCACCGCACTCGCCCAAGTCCTCGCCGAAGGCCAGGGCGGCTCTGCGGCCTGGCGCGGGTTAGTTAGTGTGGTGCAAAAGCCGGAAGGAGACACATTTGGTCTTGGCCTCCCGGCAGTCACCGTGCCAGGGACGAATGTGCTATCGCTCGATTTGGAGTCCACTTCCTCGTCTTTAAAGATGACAGATGAGGGGGATCTCGCGTTCTGGGGTGCCCTAAAGCCCTCTTTTGGCAGGGCGCGGGGTCTCACGCCTGTAATCCCTACACTTTGGGAGGCCGAGGCGGGAGGATCGCTTGAGCCCAGGAGTTCAAGACAAGCCTGGGCAACATAGGGAGACTACCTCTCTCTCTCTAAAAAAAGAAAAAAAAAAAAATTAGCCGCGTTGTGCCGGGCGCCTGTGGTGCTTGTGGTCCCAGTTACTCTGGAGGCTGAGGTGGGAGGATCGTTTGATCCCAGGAGGTGGAGTTTACAGTGAGCTGAGATGAGCCACTGCACTCCAGCCTGGGCGACAGAGCAAGACACTGTCTCTAAGAAAAAATAAATAAAATAAGGCCCTCTTTTGCCAGGACCAACAAACCCTGAGGGCAGGGACAAACTGACCAAGCCCAAACTGCCTCGCCTTCCCTGCTCCCAGGAAAGGGCTTTCCCTGAGGGAATAGAACATCTTGCCATTTTTTTCCTGCACAGCTTTGCCTTCCCAGGGATCCGCCCACTGCCACCTGAGGAAATGCCTTGGAGTCCATCTAATCCCCAGCCCAGCTACTTGGGATGCCTACAGAGCATACATTGTCAGAGGATGCATCTTCCTGTAGTCTTAGAAGGTTTCTTTTCAATATGATCCCGCTGGTGCATTCAAGGCTCAATTCTACACCAAAAACTAGGCCCACTCCTGTCACGAGAACCCCAGGCATCAGGTCCTCTCACAGGCACCTTGTTCTGGCCTTCAGCAGCCCCCAGGTATTCACTCCGCATATGCTATATACTGGGTGCTGGACTAGAGAGGCTACCTACGTGGCACATGCTTCCCTTATCCGTGAAGAGCTTAGAATATTGTAACTTCTTCACACTACACCGCTTACTTCTTGAAGATTTCAGTATCCAGGTAGATAATCCTTCCAACGTCATTTTGGTCTCATGAAGCCCACTCCAGTCCTCTGCCCTACCTTAGCTTCCCCCTCCCTCCATGATCAGACCTTAGACCTTGTCAGGTCCAAGGACTGCAACCCCCACAGTATCCCACTCTGACCACCACCTCCTGTCTATCCAGGTCACTCCCTATACCGCCCTGAAACAAAACTCCTGCAACCTTACCAGCACCTCCAATCCAGATCTTACTACCTGTTCACTGTTTCTTCCTTCCTTTATGGTGCTCTCTAGTGAGCCAGCTTAAACCCTATGGCCAACCATTCTCATTAATCCCTTGCACACCTCCTTAACTCATGCACCTCCCTATCACCTTCTATCTGCTTGGTAAGATGGGAGCACTGGATAAACCCAGCTCTCCGTCTATTCCATGCCACAACAATGCAACTAAATATGGCTGGAGGAAAACAGGACCATGCCAGCAGTCCTCACTTTAATCATTCTTTGCCTGGTCTATTCAATCTCCCATTGTTCCAAGTGAGTATTTCACACTTCCTTCTCTCTGTTCAATCCTTCCCACTGCTTCTCCCTTCCTTGCCTCCTGCTTTACTAAGAGAATAGAAGTGGTCAAAGTCTTCCACAGACTCCCACCTCTACCTCCACCCATCTGCCTCCTATTGCCTGCCTGTGACTGTGGATGAACAACTGCTATGTCCAGCCAAAGAATCCTGCACTGGACTGCTGAATCCCATCATCTCTTACTGCTCCAGGGTGTCACTCCAGCCAGCCTATCCTTTCTCTAACATCAGCAGTATTTTCCTTTCTACTGGACTCTTCTCATCATCACACAACATGCAGCTATTTCTGTCATCTTCAAAACACAGAAATTACTTGACCCTATTTCCTATACCAGGACCTGCACCTTTTCTACGTTCCCTTTTGCAGCAAAACTTCATAAAAGAATGGTCAATACACACTCTGACCCCTCTCCTATTCTCTTTGATTCACTTGTCTCACAGGACTCCACCTGCAGCCCTGGATGCTCTTTCTCAGCTGCCTTTGCTGGTTCCCCTGCTCTCACCTGTTTAAATTAGAGCAAGGCCATAGGTTTCGGGCTTCAGTTTTCTTTTCTTCTATGTCTATACTTATTCCCTGGATGGTCTCATTCTGTCTCAGTTTTATATTTCATCTGTGTCAGTAATTGTTATGTATTGGGTCTGTCCCTGCCCAAATTTCATGTGGAATTGTAATCCCCAATGTTAGAGGTGGGGCCTGGTGGGAGGCGATTGGATCATGGGAGCAGAGTCTTCATGAATGGTTTAGCACCATTCCTCTAGTGCTGTTCTCATGATAGAGTTCGCACAAGATCTGGTTGTTCAAAAGTGTGTAGCACCTCGCTGCCCCCCACTTCCTTCTGCTCCAGCCACGTAAGATATGCCTGCTTCTCCTTCAGCTTCCACCACGATTGAAAGTTTCCTGAGGCCTCCACAGAAGCTGTCATGCTTCCTGTGCAGCCTGCAGAATAGTGAGTCAATTAAACCTCTTTTCTTATAAATTGCCTAGTCTCAGGTACTTCTTCATAGCAGTGAGAGAATGGACTAATACAGTTATCAATTTATTGCATCTCTGCTATAAACTCATTCTTCGTTGCCTGCTCCGCAAAAACTGAACTGGGCCGTTTAAATATTTCCCTCAGACATGATGTTAGGTTTTATCAGTAGAGAGCAATGGAGAGACCTTGCAGGCGAAAGCAGTCTTTGTTCCTGGTTCTCCTGTGCTGCCTGGCCTGGCTCCTGCAGGTGGGGGTCTTCTCCAGAAACCCAGTGGCCAGTGCCCAGTGCCCAGCAGGTCCCGCTCCTCCCACCAGCTCCAGGCAGTTTTGTTATAGAGTAACTCTTCTGAGACACCGCTCCTTTCCCCAGCACCTAAAGAAGTATTTCTAGTAAGTTCCAGTGACATAGCACCAGTGACTCTCCTGACATGCAGAGGGCCATGACTGGGTTCCTCTGATGAGGTGCAGGGGAGGTGCACTAAGAGGAGAGGACTCTCCTGGGCTCTCTACCTCAGCCCTAGACTAGTGGTTGCTCCTTCTATACTTCCTACTAGTCTGTACCTGGCTACTCCACTTCCCTGTTGCAGTGAACACTTCTTTATATACACGTTTCCTGTTCAAATGACTGTGGGGCTTCTCTTTCCTAATTAGACTCTGACCAATACACTATCATTTGCCAACAACTCCCAAAGTTTTATCAATGACTCAGACCTCTAACCTGAACTCCAGCTGCCTCCATGACATATCCATTTGGATATTTAATAGACATTTCAAAAGTGATATGCCAAACAGAACTCAGGATCTTCCCTCTCAAATCAACTGCTCAGCAGTCTTATGATCTCAGTTGATGGCAATTCCATCCATAAAGATGATTAGTCAAAATGCCTCCCACACACCTTTGTCTGTTCACTTTTTCTATCCTCCATTTCCAATCCATCAGAAAATTCCTGTTGACTCTACCTTTGAAGTACAACCAGAATCCAACCACTTGTCACTACTTCCACTGCTACCCCTTTGGGCTGTGCCCCATGCAATCACACATGGATGACTGTGAAACCTTTCTCTTGGCCTCCCTGCTCCCACCTTTGCCCTTGAACAGTCAGTTCTCAATGAAGCAGCCAGAGGGCCCCTGTTAAAACATAAGGCACTATTGGTAATTTAAATTGGTATAAATGCTTTGGAAATGATTCAGCATGTCTATTATTACTGAGCATGCACTTACCCAGTGAGCCAGCAACAGAAGTAGATACAGAAAGGCACATAAGAATGTTTGGCCAGGTGTGGTGGCTCATGCCTGTAATCACAGCACTTTGGGTGATCAAGGAGGGTGGATCACGAGGTCAAGAGATGGAGATCATCCTGGCCAACATGATGAAACCCCATCTCTACTAAACATACAAAAAATTAGCTGGGCTTGGTGGCGCGCACCTGTAGTCCCAGCTACTTGGGAGGCCAAGGCAGGAGGATCACTTGAACCTGGGAGGTGGAGGTTGCAGTGAGCCAAGATTGCGCCACTGCACTCCAGCCTGGCAACAGAATGAGACTCCTTCTAAAAAAAAAAAGAAAGAAAGAAAGAAATGTTCATAGCATTTTCCAAACTGGGAAAATCCCAGACATCCACTAGCAAAAACCTAAAGACAAAACTGTAATATATATTTGCAATGGAACTATATAGAACAATGAAAATAACCACCACATGCACCAACATAGAGGATACTTAGCGAAAGAAGCCAGACACAAAGAAGAACATATCAGTTGATCCATTCAAAGCTTGAACCTAGGCAAAATTAACGTGTGGCAACAGAAGTGAAGATAATTGTGACTTTTGTGGAGGAGGGAATGTATAACTGGGTGAAGGCTGTTCTGTTGCTGGTGCTAGCTGATGAGTGTGTTTACTTTGTAACTATTTACTGAGCTTTAATATGGCAAACTGTGCTCCTAGCTATTTAGCCAACTGATTTGAAACTTACGTTCACACAAAAATATGTATAGCAGCTTTATGCATAACTACCCCAAAGTGAAGTCACCAAGATGTCTTTCAACAGATGAATGGATGAACACACTGTGGTATCCATACAATGAAAATCATTTGACAATAAAAAGAAGTGAGCTATTGATTCACACTATAACATGGATGGATTTTAAATGCATTTTGCTAAGGAAAAAGTCATCCCCAAAAGATTCTGTTTATATTATATTCCAGAAAATGAAAA